TGCTTTCTAGCAAAAAAAAGGAACATTAGGACTTTGCACATTTTGTTTTGAAGCAAGTGAAATATGTTTAGCAACTTCAAACTAAAAATTAATTTGGGTTTCAATCCCCTGTAATTGTTCTTTTACATTTTTGTGCAGCATCAAAATAAAAAGCAGCAACTCGACACATGTGATCCTATTCTAATAAACTATTTAAAATGACTTGTGAGGCTTTCGGTTCTCACTGAGAAAGCAGGAACAGTTGTAACAAAGAGGCAGAACATATGTCCAGACTATGTCATCAATATGTTTTAGAAATAGAAAGATTCTCAGTACGATGACGCATCTCCATGAACAGAGGGGAGAAAATGTAAAAAACCAAACATACACACACAGCTAAACTGACACGAGGCAGGGAATCAGCTCAACACCAGCCAAAATGGCAATGGATAGAGCTGGAAGAGTCTGATTTCCCCAGAAAGTGATGAGAAATCTCCTCAATGAAGGCACAGACAGAAACATAACTGATAGAGTAATGCTTTAAAGCAGTATTAAACCCAAAAGCAAACATTTTTTATACTGCGGCTTACCAATTCTTAGATATGAAGGCTACATTAGTTTTCTTATTTAAGCTTTCTTTCTATTTTCATTTGGTGGTCCAGCCAGCAAGTCTGTTGTTTTTCAAAAGCACAAACTCTCCAGCAAAACTGTATCAGTTACAGAGATGAGACGATCCATTTACCATTCACAGAGGCGCATACAATGGTCAACTTTTTTTATTCATGTAAAACCTTTACCTTAAAAATAAAAAACTGTTTGCTGTAACTGATTATAAAATGTGAGCTGGAGGTTGGCTTCAATTCGTTATTGTATTCAAATACATCTAGTACATCTAACACTCCCATCCCCCAAAATGGCAATGCTGCTATCTGCTGTGCTCCTTCATCCAGAGTTCTATCTCACTAATACAGAAGGTGGAGAGCATTTTTTTCACCCAATGACCTGTGTTTAATAAAACTAATTTCTAGTTCTTTCCACTTTAAACTGATGAAAGCGTAGATCTGGTTCCTGTGTGGATGATGATGATTACTTTTTGCACATAACCTGATTCTCCGGTATAGCAGAAGCTGCATAAGCAGCTCATACCAGGCCTGTGACCCCTGGGAGCCCAACTGTGACCCTCTATTGTACCCTTTCCCCTCACCATGTCATTGGAAGGATTCTCCATACTCAGAGCAGTTTTTTTGTTGCCAGGGATCACATTTATAGATATGTATAGTGTTATTGACAACAATGTGATTTCAGTGGCTCTGCATCATCTGTGTATATGGGGCAGCAGGAGGGGTACTGGTCTTGTATATGGAGTGTGGGATAGGCACTTGTTTTGGGGCCCCGTGATGGCGTTGGTTTTAAGACATGTAAGTCTATATCCTGGTGGTGTCATAAATATCATTGCACAAAGTAGTGAAAACAATATGTGTTCCTGTGTGGGATGGTGACCATGACCATGGTGACCATGCTGTATGAATTTCATGGGGGGTGGTGCCTTGCGTTTTTACAAAGCTACTGCTTACCTTTTCTTCTTTAATTTAGCTGTGGTGTGTAGAGACTCATCGATGGATGGAGAGTGCAGATATGGTGCTGCTCGCAAGAATGCAGACATGCTGCAGGTTTCCGCATAGTAATGCTCTGCACCTGTGTTCTATTGTGAACGGAGAACAGATGTTTTCTGTGTGCCCTTGCAGAGATCAGTGTTATTCTAGTCCAGAAAAATGCTGTGAATGAGCCCTAAGATAGAAGGGGGGACCTGGTGGCACTGGCAAGCTAACGATGCTCAGGTTGTAGCAGAATCAGATATAAAGCAGATAAAGCCTTTGAAGAAGTCTTTGTTATTTTGATCCCAAAAGCCTTTTGGGAATGCGAACTGTGAAAAATAACTCTGAAATTCATATTTAACTTAGGACATCCACGTTCATACAATTCAGTTTGAATCTAACACAATCAGTTTCAGGATCAGCTCTACTTGTCACACAGGTGACCTGTGAAGGGACAATTCCTGAGCCAGGATGAGCTTGGTTTTGGTCTGAACTTGCGTTTGGTCCAACCTCAGGTTCAGACCAAGCCTAGACGTCACTTCCACCCATTGCTGCCCAATCAACTATGGTCAAGGCATTCCCCGCCCTGCAACTGCACATAGACAAAGGGCCAGGGATGCTTGTGACATCATTGACCTAATATTGCCTAATATGATCAACCTAATATGATCAACCCAAGCTCATCCTTATTCCTGAGACTAGTGATAACACTAACATAAATAATTGTAATAGTAACAATTGAGTAATTAATAGGATATATAAACATAAAAGATATATCATTCCATCTTTCATCTTTCTGGAAGTGACCCTATATTGTGCTTCTTGTATAAATATAATCAGCTTTTTGAGACTGATTTCAGCTCTCCGCTTTTCTGATACATCATTTTGTAAATGACTTTAACATCTGGTGTGTGGCTGTTGCGATGCCCTCTATGTTCTTGAATACCTGTAGGCCGAGCTGTTGATCAGTGTCATTTGGTACAGCAGAATCACGCACAGGAAGTAGCCCAAGGCCACCAGCTCGGTGGCAGTCACGTTGCTGGCTGGAGGTTGGTGCTGAGGATGTTGTTGGCTCTGGACTAAACTGGAAAAGATACAGAAAAAAAGATATTTCTGTGTGCTGTGCTTAGGCATGATGGGTTGTCTAGCAGGGGCCATGTGCGTATCAGAAGCATAACAAATCCAAACTAGAATACCTTTCCCACTACCTGAGGACAATCCAAGAACTCTGAGTGCTCCCAGTCCCAATCTAAAGTGAAATCTGGTGTCTATCCCATCTCTGTACTTCGCTCAACGCTTTGTACAATCAAGTTAAATCTGTCCTGATGGAGTTTTTGGTTGACTTATTCTTGAATCTTGCTGGGATGCTTGTGGTGTGTAATGGCTTGCATCACCTTTGCATGGGAAGTTGGGATACCAAGTAAAAACCCTGCAGGATCCTAGTTTTTGAATGCTAACTTCTTAGTCAGGTATGAGAGGTAATGTTGCTAGTAAAGAAGTGGGTGACATTTTAACAAAAATTTCCAGGTCCGAATCTAGGGGGAATGACATCAAGGGTCATGGAATGCATGGAATGCGTTCCCTGGGGGTGTGTCTTCATGTCAACCTGGGCTTACAGTATTGTGCTGAATAGCGCTTACACTTTACTATGTGTACCCCTACGTATGCTGCATCAAGGATCACCCACCGACGGAGGAAAGAAGAGGGGGAAGTGTATCCCATGCATCAAGTGATTGGAAAGAACGTGTGAAGCATGCTGTAGGGAAATGGAGGTCAGAGTTTTGGGAGATGCCCAACCTGGAGCTGGGCTATAACTGTAAAGAAGAACCCTCATTTCAATGTTTTTTTTAGAGTTCTGTCCCCTGGGGGACAAAGTATATGTAGTACTTTGTTCCATGTTCCTACATGCAGGTCCAATCACTTGTCCAAGACAAGTGCCCACAAAAAGAATGCAGAGGGAGGTGGGACATGTCAACCTTCCATCCCTCTGCATTCCTCTTGCTGCTGCTTGTCTCAGGCAAGTGGTCAGACCCAGAAACAAGCAGTGTTATCAAACAGTCATCTCCTTGCTAGCTACATTTTCAGAAGGCTGCAGGGGATGAGGGGCTGACCTGTCTGACCTTGTAGCTAGACTTTCAAAAGCATGTAAGAACATCAGATAAAGTACTAAATATACTCTGTCCCCTGACAGAATACTCCAAAAAAATTGAAGTAGGAGTTCTACATTAACAATAACCCTCAGCTAACTCCAACGTCAATGGCAAAACCTACAGTATATAATGGTAACCCTAACTCTTGCCCTAAACCTTGGTTGATAAACAAAGCCATGTGATTGCCATTTAGGAGACACAGCCCTGGGTCATCACAATTAGAAGCACTGAGCGCTTTTAGCCTTAAAGGGGAACTTTTTTTCCAAAGCAAATATTGCCTAGCAGAACCACATAGTGAAATTAGAGGTGAATTTTATTACGTTTCTACAAAATCGAATTCCATGTAATCAGCCTCTCATCCCTAATCTGTCTACACTGTCAGACACGTATACTCTCCCACGCTGTGTAATTCACCGCTAGTTGGCTATGAGATGTGATGATTTCATGTAAAATGAAAAGGAATATTCCAGTTTATAAGACCGAGCGACATGTTCTCCCTGTGCCCTCACGTATGCTGGTTGTCGCCCACTCACTGTACCCGGAGATCTCCAATAAAGTGTCTGTGCTCAACTGGGGGAAGACTGAGATGACTTAGGAATCTGTAAAGACCATATTGATCTTCAGAGAGGTGATCTGTTCATTGCTGATTGGGGTACTGACATATGCAGAGGGACAGATCGGTCATTAAAGTGGAATTGCACTACATCTGAGCACCACAAAGCAAAAATGCTATTTCATTAATTTTTAATATTCAAGGAAAACTCCCCAATCCATTCATGTCTCCATGCTTTATTTTGCTGAGAAATAATTTTGCGAAACACCCTCTGGAATTTCTGACAGTGGCCATCTTGGGTAAGGGCAGATGAATTATGTATCATTTACTTCCTGGAATTCATCTGCTCTTAGCTCAGGCATAGGCTGAGCTGAGAACCCCCCTCCCCTCCTGAAGACTGCTGGGATGTATAACATTATTTGCCTAGGCATGAAAACCAGGAAGTAACTAGAAAAAAAAATGTTTAAACAAGTAAATATGATATACTTTCCTATCTATTTACTAATGCTAGCAGCATAAGGATTGGAAATAGTCCATGTTGATTGAGAAAGTGAAGTTCTGCTTTAATGAAGCAGGGCAGACTCATATACACTCTACTGCCAAAAGTATTGGGACACCCCTCCAAATCATTGGATTCAGGAGTTCCAAGCACATCCACGGCCACAGGTGTATAAAATTGAGCACCTAGGCATTCAGACTGCTTCTACAAACATTTGTGAAAGAATGGGTCGCTCTCAGGAGCTCAGTGAATTCAAGCGTGGCACCGTGATAGGTTGCCACCTGTGCAAGTCCATCCATGAAATTTCCTTGCTACTAAATATTCCACGGTCAACTGTTAGTGGTATTATAATAAAGTGGAAGCAACTGGGAAGAACAGCGACCCAGCCACAAAGTGGTAGGCCACGTAAAATGACAGAACGGTGTCAGGGATTATGGTGTGGGGTGTTTTTCAGGGGTTGGGCTTGGCCCCTTAGTTCCAGTGAAGAAAACTCTTAAGCTGTCAGCATACCAAGACATTTTGGACAATTTAATTCTCTCAACTTTGTGGGAACAGTTTGAGGATGGCCCCTTCCTGTTCCAATATGACTGCGCATCAGTGCACAAAAAAAGGTTCATAAAGACATGGATGAACGAGTTTGGGGTGGAGGAACTTGACTGGCCTGCATCTCAACCTGATAGGACACCTTTGGGATGAATTAGAGTGGAGACTGTGAATCAGGCCTTCTCATCCGACATCAGTGCCTGACCTCACAAATGTGCTTCTGGAAGAATGGTCAAACATTCCCATAGACACCCTCCTAAACCTTGTGGACGGCCTTCCCAGAAGAGTTGAAGCTGTTATAGCTGCAAAGGGTGGGCCAACTCAATATTGAACCCTACAGACTAAGACTGGGATGCCATTAAAGTTCATGTGTATGTAAAGGCAGGCCGACCAATACTTTTGGCAATATAGTGTATATGTAATCAGATATAAAGTATCACATGTATAGAGCCAGTCAGCAGCCTCCTCAGAGCTTTCACCTTCAGAATCATCAGCTGGTAAATAGAGAATGAAATGATGGAGGTCAAAGTGTCCAGATTGTCCTGGAAGGTCTAATCGGGGAGACAGGACAGCTGAGTGGAAGTCCAGGCCAGGTTGGCCTCCCCTAGCTGCAGAATGGTATCGGTAGTCGGTGTCACAATGTTGGTACAATCTGCAAAGCGAGGACACCAAGAGATAGAGACTTCCATAATTATCATTATCATACTACCAATAATAACAGAGAGATGCTGTGATATGCTTTATGCTGGGTGTCTTTTCACTCAGCACAGTACCACTCCGCCTGTCCTGTATGCTGGGTGTAATTCTCAGTATCAGCTCCCATTCTATATGTATGGACACTGCACAGTACCACTCCTCCTGTCCTGTATGCTGGGTGTAATTCTCAGTATCTGTCCTTATTCTGTATGTATGGACACTGCAAAGTACCACTCCTCCTGTCCTGTATGCTGGGTGTAATTCTCAGTATCTGTTCCTATTCTATATGTATGAACTCTGCACAGTACCACTTCTCTTGTTCTGTATGCTGGGTGTAATTCTCAGTATCTGTTCCTATGAACTCTGCACAGAACCACTTCTGTCCTGTATGCTGGATGTAATTCTCAGTATCTGTTCTTATTATATATTTATGAACTCTGCACAATACCACTCCTCCTGTCCTGCATGCTGGATGTAATTCTCAGTATCTGTTCCTATTCTATATGTATGGACTCTGCACAGTTCCACTTCTGTCCTGTATGCTGGGTGTAATTCTCAGTATCAGTTCCCATTCTGTATGTATGGAGATTGCTCAGTATAACTCCCTCCTGTGGATGTCTCTCCTCTCTCCCCGGCTGCTCAGTGTGATGACAGTCATTGGAGTATGATGTGATGGTTTGTAGCTCTGTATAATCCTGGGTGTCACTCGGCATCCACGTGTCAGCTATGTGCAGTCACTGTGATGGCTTCAGGTGGTTCAATGTGTGCAGTTTGTAATTGTTAACATGTCAGCAGACATTATAATGGCCTGTCAGCCTCATACTAATTGATTTCAGATACAGTAATATTTGATAATTTCAACAAATAATGTCAGCCTTGCGGGGTGCCAAGAAGCTGCCCTGTCATTGTCTCTCACTCTTACAGGGGGATAATACAGTGCCATCATGGCAGACATGACACCCATTCATCAGAGAAGAGATCAGCAGTGCCAGCTACAGATAGACCTGATATTCTACCGATACAAACAGACATTTGTACGCAGCTTATCTGTCAGGTGACATTATAATTCAAAGTGTGTGACATATTCCTCATCACTGCACAGAGAACATGAGCCAGGCACATCAGCCTCTGCACCAGAAGAGCTTACACTTCAATGTCCCATGACTGTCACACTATTATTGAGCATTTCTATAGCTCTGACATATTCCTCAGTGCTGTACAGAGAATGCTAAGCCAGTCACATCATCTGCATCACAGGAGCTTACACTCTTACATCCCCACCATATTCACACACAATTATTATTATACATTTATATAGCACTGACATATTCCATAGTGCTGTAAGAGAACTCTGAGACCGTCACTTCAGTCTCTGTACCTTGGAGCTTACACTCTAATGTCCCACCACAGTCACATTATTATCGTTATCAATTATATAGCTCTGACATATTCTGCAGTGCTGTACAGCAAACACTAGACCAGTCACATCAGTCTCTGCACCAGAGGAGCTTACAATCTAATGTCCCATGAATGTCACACTATTATTAGGCATTTCTATAGCTCTGACATATTCCACAGTGCTGGGCCAGTGACATCACCTGCCCCATAGGAGCTTGCGCTCTTATATCCCCACCACAGTGGTATAGCTCTGACATATTCCATGGTGATGTACAGAGAGCTATTCACATTAGGCCTCATGCACACTGGACGATTATATCTCTCCTAGATGCCTTTCCCCCTGGTAGCAGTGTATTGGCAGAAAAAAAATGTTTGATGCTTGTAAATGTGTGTGACACCTTTAAGCGCATCAAGTGCTTGGGTGTTAATTAATTTAATTGGCCGGAATAATAATTTATTCTGGCCATTGAAATTATTTAATGCTCAAGACCTAAACGTTCCTAGTGTTAACTTGCGTTTAGATCTGTTTACACCCGTCAAGCATTTTTTCTGCCAAAACACCACTGCTCCTGGACACACTGACAGTGGGGTTTTTTGGCCTTTAAATGCCCTTGCCTCTAAGCTCTTCTAAATGCCAGTGTGTGCATGGACACATAGGCTAATATGCAGGGGCGTTTAGAGGCAGAAAAAAAAAATGAAATACTCCCCTAACAGCAGCGTACAAAAAAGCACAGTGTGCATGAGGCCTTAGTCTCTCCACTAGAAGAGCTTACACTCCAATGTCCCACAGTCACACACTATTATTATACATTTTATAAAGCTCTGATATATTCTGCAGTACTGCACAGAGAACACTGAGACAGTCACATCAGTCTCTGTTCCAGAGGAGCTGACACTCTAATATCCAACCACAGTCATACACTATTATTATTATTATACAGTTGTATAGCTCTGACATATTCCATAGTGCTGCACAGAGAACACTGAGCCAGTCACAGTAGTCTCTGTACCAGGGGAGCTGACACTCTAATGTTCCACCACAGTCATATACTATTATTATACATTTATATAGCTCTGATATATTCCACAATGCTGCACAGAGAACACAGAGCCAGTCACATCTGTCTCCGTACCAGAGGAGCTGACACTCTAATGTCCCACCACAGTCATATACTATTATTATACATGTATATAGCTCTGATATATTCCATAGTGCTGCACAGAGAACACAGAGCCAGTCACAGCAGTCTCCGTACCAGAGGAGCTTACACTCTAATGCCCCACCACAGTCACACACTATTATTATACATGTTTATAGCTCTGATTAGGTGCAGGAAATAAAATAATATCCAGCAACTAAACAGAATTCACGTTAGACAATTCACACCAGCGCAGAACTGATTGTGATTGGTCAGTAGATGTGCTATAAGTAGCTTGCAGTCCTTTGCTCCACATACTGTTTTGTTGAAGGACCCAGTAATGTTGGTGAGTTTCCCTGTTGCTCATTTCTATCGGGTGTGCAGTGAGCTGTTGTAAATATTCGATAGTTTGGCGGTCAGGACGTCCAGGTTTGGCACCTTGTTAAACTCTTGTATTATGGAGGGGAGGGGGTCCCATAGGCCTCATGCATACTGCTGCTCCAAAGCTGACGTTTATGGGGCTTTTGGTGTTTTTTTGCCTAACCCCTGAACCCACCTCAATAAAAGCCTATGGGGGTTATTCACTACAGTTGGAGAGTGCAAAATCTTGTGCAGCTCTGCATAGAAACCAATCAGCTTCCAGGTTTTATTGTCAAAGCTTAATTGAATAAGCAGAGTTTAGAAGCTGATTGGCTGCCATGCACAGCTGTATCGGATTCTGAGTGCAGCAGTCTGAGTAAATCTTCCCCTATGTGTCCATTCACACATCGGCTTTTAGGAGAGTTTAATAGCAGCAGTGTTTTAGAGGCAGTATTATGCTCCATTCCTGAATGCAGAACAATCGCATTTAGGAGAGTAGAGTTTTGGCAGGAAAAACACTACATGTGTGTAAACACGCGGTAACGCTACGCACATTTAGAGTTTGAGCGTTAGTTCATTTCGACGGTCAATTAATTATGATGTGGCTTAACATCAACGCGTTTCATGAGTTTACACGCGTCAAATGTTTTTCTGATGCCAGGAGAAAGGTGTCTAGAGAGTTGGTTAAGAAGGTCCAGTGTGCACGAGGCCTCACAGCGGAGGACAGAATGAATGTCAGAGCGGCTTTTACATCTTCCTGTTGGAGGAACGTTTTCAGTGTTAGCATGTGATAGCAACTCCAGAGTCTCCATACTAATAGATTGAGTGTATTTACATGGAAAACTAGAATAAAGGCGGAACAGCCAATCAGATTTCAGATTGTGCCTCAGCTCAGTCTGACTTCTTGGGGTAAAGGTTCCACTTCTCTTCCATATTTGTAAATCTCACCATATTCTTAGTTTAGGGAACTTTATGTGTTTTATAAATCACCATGTTTAGAATGCGAGCCAGATCTTCCCCCATTGTGGTCAAGGTCCAGGAGGATCTTGCGTCTACATGGGTGTAGGTGTCACTGCATGGGCAAGGAAATGACATGGTAAGTTTATGCACCTATAAGGTGCTAAATAATGTGATAAGAAGTGTCGCCAATTGCTGATGAGAGATTCAGTGAATGGATGATTACCACAAAATTAGGTTTGTGATATAATAAGTAGTGCTAAAGTAAAAAATAATAATATTATTAGTACGAAACGCGTCAGTGAGGAGCCTGCCGCACTGACGTCATTCCGCCGAGGCCACGTGTCCAGGCCGGTGGCCATTTTTGGAATCGGATGTTTGTTTGTTTTCTTTCTATATATGCTGAACCATTATAGATTGGCTACACCACTAAACTTTTAATAAGGAAACACTGCTGATACAATTACTATGACAGGTGCC